AAAAAGTTTAATTTTGGTCTCATTTGACCAGAGCACCTTCTTCCACATGTTTGCTGTGTCCCCCACATGGCTTCTCACAAACACGACTTCTTATGGCTTTCTTTCAACAATGGCTTTCTTCTTCCCACTCCTCCTCCATAAAGGCCATATTTGTGGAGTGCACAACTAATAGTTATCCTGTGGACAGATTCTCCCACCTGAGCTGTGGATCTCTGCAGCTACTCCAGTTACCATGGGCCTCTCCTTGCCCGGTCTGTCAGTTTAGGAGGACGGCCATGTCTTGGTAGGTTTGCAGTTGTGCCGTACTCTTTCTATTTTTGAATGATGGATTGAACAGTGCTCCGTGAGATGTTTTATAACCTAACCCTGTTTTAAACTTCTCCACAGCTTTATCCCTGACCTATCTGGTGTGTTCCTTTGGCCTTCATGAGTCTGTTTGTGCACTTATGTTCTCTAACAAACCTCTGAGGGCTTCACAGAACAGTTGTATTTATACTGAGATTAAAGTACACACAGGTGGACTTCATTTACTAATTAGGTGACATCTGAAGGCAATTGGTTCCACTAGATTTTAGTTAGGGGTATCCGAGTAAAGGGGGCCAAATACAAATGTATGCCACAGTTTTCAGATATTTATTTGTAAACTCTTTTGAAAACCATTTATCATTTTCCTTACACTTCACAATTATGTGCCACTTTGTGTTGGTCTATCACATAAAATCACAATAAAATACATTTTACGTTTTTGGTTGTACCATGACAAAATGTGGAAAATGTCAAAGGGTATGAATACTTTTTCAAGGCACTGTATTGCAGCTTACCAATCATTAGCTGTATGGCTGAATTAGTTTCCTTTTTTATGCTTGTTTTTCCCGTTTTCACCTTTTATGATCTGGCCAGTGTCCGTGCTCTGATGAAGGAGCACAGAGGGCATCTTTGGACAGCAGCATTGTTAACCTGTGGGGAGAAGAGTGATAGATCAACACAAAGTGGCACATAATTGTGAAGTGGAAGGAAAAGAATATTTTTTACAAATATCTTAAAAATGTGGAGTGCATTTGTATTCAGCCCACTTTACCCTGATTTCCTTAACTAAAATCTAGCGGAACCAATTGCCTTCAGAAGTCACATAATTAGTAAATAGAGTCCACCTGTGTGTAATTTAATCTCAGTATAAATACAGCTGTTCTGTGAAGCCCTCAGAGGTTTGTTAGAGAACATTAGTGAACAAACCGCATCATGAAGGTCAAGGAATACACAAGACAGGTCAAGGATAGAGTTGTGGAGAAGTTTAAAGCAGGGTTAGGTTACAAAAAACATATCCCAAACTTTGAACATCTCACGAAGCACTGTTCAATCCATCATCCAAAAATGGAAAGGGTATGGCACAACTGCAAACCTACCAAGACATGGCCGTCCACCTAAACTGACAGGCCGGGCAAGGAGAGCATTAATCAGAGAAGCAGCTGAGAGGCCCATGGTAACTCTGGAGGAGCTGCAGAGATCCACAGCTCAGGTGGGGGAATCTGTCCACAGGACAACTATTAGTCGTGCACTCCACAAATCTGGCCTTTATGGAAGAGTGGCAAGAAAAAAGCCATTGTTGAAAGAAAGCCATAAGAAGCCCCGTTTGCAGTTTGTGAGAAGTCATGTGGGGGACACAGCAAGCATGTGGAAGAAGGTGCTCTGGTCAGATGAGACCAAAATGTAACTTTTTGGCCTAAAAGCAAAATGCTATGTGTGGCAGAAAACTAACACTGCACATCACCCTGAACACACCATTTTCATCAGCTGGGAAAGGGAAGCTGGTCAGAGTTGATGGGAAGATGGATGGAGCCAAATACAGGGCAAACTTCGAACAAAACCTGTTAGAGTCTGCAAAAGACTTGAGACTGGGATGGAGGTTCACCTTCCAGCAGGATAACGACCCTAAACATACAGCCAGAGCTACAATGGAATGTTTTAGATCAAAGCATATTCATGTGTTAGAATGGCTCAATCAAAGTCCAGACCTAAATCCAATTGAGAATTATGGCATGACTTGAAAATTGCTGTTCACAGATGCTCTCCGTCCAATCTGACAGAGCTATTTTGCAATGAAGAATGGGCAAATATGTCACTCTCTAGATCTGCAAAGCTGGGAGAGACATCCCCAAAAAGACTTGCAGCTGTAATTGCAGTGAAAGGTGGTTCTACAAAGTATTGACTCAGGGGGGGCTGAATACAAATGCATGCCACACTTTTCACATATTTATTTGTAAAAAAAATGTTGAAAACCATTTATCATTTTCCTTCCACTTCACAATTATGTGTCACTTTGTGTTGGTCTATCACATAAAATCCCAATAAAATACATTTAGGTCTTTGGTTGTACCATGACAAAATGTGGAAAATGTCAAGGGGTATGAATACTTTTTCAAGGCACTGTATCTGTCAGAGGGAGGGAGGGGGGGACGGTGGGCGCAGCTATGGGAACATGTTACATGTTCCACCCTAAAAACGGGTGGAAAATGTAACCTGTTCCAAAGGTGAACTTATCCTTTAACCCAGTGGTATCCAAACTGCTTTGCTTCCATTTATCCGGGCCTTGGGATACTATTCCTCCCACTGATACAAGACACTATTCCTCCCACCGACACCAACAACGGGGCATTATTCCTGTCACTGATACAAACAATATTGCACTATTCCTACCCCAGACCCCAAGAATGAGGCACTCTTCTTCCCACTGACACCAATGATGGGGCACTATTCCTCCCCCTGATACCAACAATGGGGCAATACTCCTCTCACAAATGATGGGGCATTGTTTTCTCCCAGGGCATTTTCTACTCTCACTGGTCACAGTCAGGCCCCCTCAGAGTCTGAAGGATAGTAAACTGACCCTTTGTTTAGAAAGTTTGGAGACCCCTGTTCTAGCCCTTAGAGCTGATTCACACATGTGCAGTGCGGATTGAAGCTCAGGTTTCACAGCTAATTCATATAGTTGTTCAGTGGTTCAGGACAGGATCAGCTCAGGATTTTATCTTGTTCACATGTCAAGTTTAGAAATGGTTTCCATAGAAGTTCAGAGCCTGTAATCTGCACCTGAACCGGACTGCTCAAATCAGACAGGACACTTTTTAAATTGCACAGAATCCACACTGGCAGTGCAGCGGACAGATGTAATATGGGGAGAAGTTTCCCTGTACTATCTGTCAAATTTGAAAACCGCATGGCTGTGAATGAATGAACTGCAAGTCCCGACAGCCTTGGTGGTGGGCTTGTAGTTTTCGATGAATTGCCACGGTGCTGTGGTAGGTTATCAAAGCTTCCTGTTAGAATATCTGCTTGGCTGTACATCCCATACGATAAGCAGATATTCTGACAGGTCTGCAGGAGACCTGCATGGCATCAGCAATCTACTGATCGCTGGTGCAATGCTTTCCAGGCTCCTTTGGACAAAAATAATAAATGAACATTTTTTTTTTACCTGCAAAAAAAATGTGCATTTATTATTTTTGTCCAAAAGGTGAACTTCTCCTTTAAACTAGGTGGTGAGAAAGCAACACAACGCTGTCTGCCTTAACCCCTTGTTTGCTGTACTGCTAAGGTTGCAGAGCGGCCTTATTCAATTGAATGGGTAATGCTTGGCAGGTGCTACACCCACCAACCATGACAGGGAGTATAACTCCTGCTGCAACATGTGTACACCCCTGGCCACTGCAGCAAAAGGGGGTGCGATTGGAGCTGGGGTAGTAAAACACTTAACTAAGGGGTTTTACCACCCCCACAAACTGCAAATTAACCCTTACTGCTCTGAGCCCCCTATAAGGCTGCTTTCACACTGATGTGCTGCGGTTTACCTGCGCCGTGGGTGCAACGCAGGGCATCTGTGACTTTCCTGGGTTATCTGCGCTTTGCCACAGACTTCTATTATATCCTGCAGGTGTGGTTAACTTTCTGAAAGCAAACCAAAACACCTGCATTCAGGAGTTTCGGGGCACTTTCAGAAAGTGCACCATAGCTGCAGGATATAATAGAAGTCTTTAGCTAAATGCAGCAAACCCGCAGGAAAGCTGCAGGTACACTGCACTGAACCCATGGTGTGGGTAAACCACAGCGCACTGGTGTGAAAGCAGCCCTGTATATGCCCAGTGTATTGCTTTACACGGACCTAAAAAAAAAAATCAAATTTTTTTTCCTGCTGCTGGCACCAATCTGGAGACCATTAGCTGGAATAAGAGGTGGAGTGCAATTAGTGCCACTCCATATGGGACAGGAGCCAGCACTACAGAGGAGGCATATGCAGCTCTTGCCCCCTACTACAACTCCAACTCTACAAGTAGTTCCTCTGCATTGTACTCTGTTTGCTGCTCTGGGATGGTGGGTCAGCAAGCCCAGATCATGATCTATTCGTTGCCTGGCCACGATCTGCTGGTTGCTGACCCCCCATAGTCCATAAGAGTAGATACCCAAAGTGTCTATCTGTATCTTTCATTTGTGAGAAAGGCTTCCCACATTACAAAGTGGGGGGGTGTGACTGGACTTCGAGGAGCTCCAGTCTCCTGTGTAAAATTAGGTCAGCAGCTAAAAAAAAAGCTATAGCTGCTGACTTGTAATAAACAGCCACTCACCTGTCCCATGGTCCAGCACTGCGTTCACCTCCTGTTGTCTGTCCCCAGCATCTTAACTGTGGGCACCTGGTTGTGACAGCTTGCAGCAACATCGGGTACCCACTTCCCCATAACCCCCCCCCCCCCCCCACAAAGCTGTCATTTCAGAAACCAGAATGGGGGAGGAGGCCTTAAAGCAGAACTTCCTCTTTTGGGTGGAGCTCCACTTTAAAGATTACCTGCTGCATGAATTCAGGTTTGGGGTCTCATAGGTAACTACAAAGACTTACTAACAACTTAACCTGCTCCAGGTGCCTGCTTTTAGGAGCTAGTGTTGGTTGAACATGCTTTGTGAATGATGTGATCACTTCAAATCTATGAATAAATGAGGATTATCTCTTCTAGGTGAAAGAAAACAGTTTCACTTATGAATTTGATTTTTCCAAAGTGTACTGGAATTCAAGGCTTGGGACAGAGCATGATAGAATTACTGGACTCTTAAAGAGCGGAGATTTGGTGTTTGACGTGTTTGCAGGTGTAGGGCCCTTTGCTATCCCTGCTGCTAAAAAAAACTGCATTGTCTATGCCAATGACTTGAACCCAGAGTCCTATAAATGGCTGCTACATAACTGCAAACTGAACAAAGTGGGCATGAAATTGCAGGCATTCAATGTTGACGGGCGAGAGTTTATCAGGACTGTTATAAAGAAAGAACTATCAGAATATATAAAGTCCTTCACCACAGAGAGGAAAAAACATCTCCACATTGTCATGAACCTGCCAGCTTTGGCTGTGGAATTTCTTGATGCCTTCAGACACCTCCTAGACATGGAGCATTGCAGCGAGGATATCCTGCCCACTGTACATTGCTATGGCTTCTCAAAGGCTGACAACTCAGAAAAGGACATCAGGAACAGGGCAGAGGAATATTTAGGAACTGTGTTGGAAAGTTGCTCTGTTCATCTTGTGAGGAACGTCGCCCCAAATAAGGACATGATGTGTATAACCTTTAAGCTGCCAGCGAAGGCACTTTTTGCAATCCAATCAGATTCTGTAGGTAAGTACCATAAAGCATGTAGATACAAGCATTTTTATCTCATAACATTACAAACCTACTGTCATTAAGTAGAAGTAACAAAGAAATACTCAGTGAAAAGGAAAAAAGTATGACTGAACCATAAGAATGATTTGCAGAGAGTGGGCATAGTGTACAATTTAATGTAAATTTTGCCTAAAATGCTGTTTGCCTTGTTGTAATGCTATACCCTTTGAATCACCAACCCAGTGCGTACACCGCCGGCTCATGGGACAGGTGAGTGGCTTTTTTTTTTTTTTTAAGTCAGCAGTTTTTGTAGTTCTATATACGTGATTTTGCATTTCCGGGTAGGGGGGTGCACACAGCCACGGCTGTCAATCACCGGGTCCCGGCCGGTGATTACCGAGGATCTCCCGACGGGGAGGAGAACTGTTTTGTTTACTAACAGTCCTCCTCCCTGTCAGCTCAGGCTCACTGCTTTGGACAGCACAGCCATCCAAAGCAGTGTGCTTACAGTGAAGCACACAGACACCGCCCCATTGTAAAACATACCCAGCACACAGTTAACCCTTTGATCGCCCCTCATATATATTAACCCCTTCCTGCCCAGTGCCATTAGTACATTGTCAGTGCTTTTTTTTTTTTTTTTTTTTTTTTTTTTTTTTTAGCACTGATCACTGTATTGGTGTCACTGGGCATGTCAGTGACAACAAGTCAGTTTCCTCCCAGTGTCAGAATGCCCGCGGCAGTCTTGCTATAGGTCGCTGATCGCTGCCATAAGTCGCTGATCGCCGCCATTACTAGTAGAACAAAAAAGCAAAGACATGTAGCAGAATACATTTTGGCCTAAATTTGTGAAGAAATTTTGATTTTTTTTTTTTTTTTATTTTATTTTACTGGACATGTTTAATAGCAAAAAGTCAAAAATGTTTTTTTTTCTCAAAATTGTTGGTATTTTTTTTTTTGTTTATAGTGCAAAAAATACACAGGCGATCAAATACCACCGATAGAAAGCTCAATTTGTGGGAAAAAATGGATGAATATTTAATTTGGGTAGCATGACTGTGCAATTGTCAGTTTAAGGAACACAGCACCAAACGCAAAAAAATGGCCTGGTCAGGAAGGTGGATAAATCCTCAGGAGGGCAAGTGGTTGGTTAAAGAAATGGGAATATGTAAGCCTAAAGTACCATTACTATCGGCCAGAGTTTGTGTGGACACAGATCTTGCGGCTTAATAGCCATTTTTCCCACCATCATTGCTAGCTTAGGTGTTCCCACACTTTGTGCACACATGACTCAGAAGTCTTTAAAAGGAATCAGCCTGAACCCATGGTGTGTACTGGCTCCAGGGTAGAGAAGATGAATTTAACACTTACAGTGCTAATAAAGTTAACGAAAAAAAAAAAAAAAATCCCCCTCTGCAGGTTTTAGCCATAATGTGCTAGTATGCACTTCATAGAAGGAGCTAGAGGCTCCAAGCGCGTAGCCTGTCATTGTCTGTGTTTCCTGGTACAGCGGACTCTCCGCCTCTTCCGGTGACGTCACTTCCGCCGGTGTGGTCCAAGCTGGTTGCATGGACTCTTCCTGGTACAGACACCGCTGGATCGGCCTCACTGTACTGCTACTCGACAGGAAAGATCCCCACACTGTACTTACATCCCTTTACCAACCCAGCACACATCTATAGGGCGACCAGTGGTACCTGCAGGACGGTGAGGAGCAGTCTCCTCCCTTACACAGATGAGCTTGTTTCTTTATTTTTCTTGTGAGTGTTTTTAATCCTTCAGTATTAGTTTTTACCACTGCACTTAGATTGGCGCCTCCTGTCTTCTTCCTTTTTGTCTTTGCATACAGAGTTGGCTTTGCTCTTTAGGATGGCTGCCGCTAATTTGCACCAATTTGTACCTTGTGTCCGAGAGATTTTGCAAAGACTTTATTATTATTTTTTTTTTTTATGTGTGTGTGTAACTTTCCCCCCCCCAAATATTTCACCTCTGTGCACCATCATTTTTTCCTTATTGACTGTTTGTGTAAAGCCCACCTCTCCAGTTATTTCTCCGCTTCTTCCTCTGTCATAGTTACCACTAATGACCCCACCCTCTCCATCCATTCCCTGACTCATACATCATTGCTGTGTTCAGTAGTGATGTAGGGGATCGGAGGATGGAACTGTGTGTAGCAGGGAACTGCAAGCGTCTAATGCTGAAGAGACTGCAGTGAGGACGGAAGGGGGAGGTAAGAATAAAAGCTGTTCTATTGCAGGGCACCTTCCTTTAGGGTTTTCTTTTACCCTGACAGGGTCATTAAGGGTGAGCAGAAAACAGCCAATCACATTTTATATTAGTGTAGTTAGATTGGCTAATGAAGCACCCCGTTGTATCTAAACCTAATTCACACTGGTGAATTGAAACCAGTGCTGTGGAAAAGGTTTTCATTGAGGATATGTTTGTATTTTGCTCCATTCAGCTTTCGTTCAACCCTGACCAGTCTCCCAGTCCCTGCTGCTGAAAAAAAAAAACCCTAGAGCATGATGCTGCCACCACCATGCATCACTTTTGGGATGGTGTTGGGCAAGTGATGAGCGGTACCTAGTTCCTTCCAGACATAATGTTTAGAATTGAGGCATAAACTATAAGGTAAACCCATACATACCGTATACAGATACAGTTAGGTCCATATACATTTAGATACAGGCACAATTTTCATACTTTTGGCTCTGTATGTCACCAGAATAAATTTAAACGAAACAATCCAAATGAATTTGAAGTGCAGACTTTCAGCTTTAATTCAAGGGGTTGAACGTAAATATCAAGTACAAATTTTAGGAACTGCAACCATTTTTATACACAGTCCTTCCATTTGCAGGGACTCAGATGTAATAGAACAAATGAATATAATCATAAAATGTTAATTTGTAATATTTTGTTGAGAATCCTTTACTGGCAATGACTGCCTGAAGTCTGGAACCCATGGACATTACCAAAGACTGGGTTTCCTCCTTTCTGATGCTTTGCCAGGCTCTAACTGCAGCTGTCTTCAGTTGCTCTTTGTGGGTCTTTCTGCCTTTAGTTTTGCCTTCAGCAAGTGAAATGCATGCTCAATTGGGTTGAGATCAGGTGATTGACTTGGCCATTGCAGAATATTCCGCTTCTTTTCCTTCAAAAGCTCCTGGGTTGCTTTTACAGTGTGTTTTGGATCATTGTCCATCTGTACTGTGAAGCGCCATCCAATCACCTTTGCTGCATTTGGCTGAATCTGGGCTGATAGTATATCTCTTAACACTGCAGAATTCATCCGGCTGCTTCTGTCACATCATCAATAAACAACATTGACCCAGTGCCACTGGAAGCCATGCATGTCCATGCCATCACACTGCCTCCGCCATGTTTTACAGATGACGTTGTGTGCTTTGGATCATGAGCTGTTCCAAGCCTTCTCCACACTTTTTTCTTCCCCTCATTCTGGTACAGATTAATCTTAGTTTCATCCGTCCAAAGAATGCTTTTCCAGAACTGGTCTGGCTTTTTTAGATGTTTTTTTGGCAAAGTCTAATTTGGCTTTTCTATTCTTCACACTTATGAATAGTTTGCACCTTGTGGTGAACCCTCTGTATTTGCTCTTGTGAAGTCTTCTCTTGATTGTAGACTTTGACAATGATACGCCCACCTCCTGGAGAGTGTCCTTCACTTGTCTGGATGTTGTGAATGGGTTTTTCTTTACCATAGAGAGGATCCTGCGATCATCCACCACTGTTGTCTTCTGTGGACGTCCATGCCTTTTTATGTTGCTGAGCTCACCAGTGCGTTCTTTCCTCAGAATGTACCAAACTGTTGATTTGGCCACTCTTAATGTTGCTGCTATCTCTCTGCTGGATTTGTTTTGTTTTTGAAGCCTTACAATGGCCTGACACTTGCATGGACAGCTCCTTTTGAATGCATGATGTAGGTTCACAGCAATAGATTCCAAATGCTAATACCACACTTGGTCTTCATGTACACTGGACATTTGTACAGCTGCAACTTTTGACATTTTTTTTCTACAGCCAGTGAATTCCCCAGCATGTTATCCTATGTGTCCATGCACACAGATTGTAATCAGCGTGTTTTGGCTGGGGTGTTTTTTGGCTGGAGAAAAAAAAACAGAACTAGTGGGGTTCTAGAGATTTTTTTTCTTTTTTTAGCTGTAAAAACGCTCTAATGCTGAAAAATGTGGTAAAACACCCAGCGTTTTTAGGACTTTTTTTGAGCAAAAAAAGATTTTTTTTGGGAAAAAAAAAAAAAAAAAATGCTCTAAACGTTAATGCAAAATGCTGAAAAACTCAAGTTTTTAACATGACGTTACACAGCTAACATTACCAGCGTGCTTAAAACGCCCGTGTGCATGGAGCCTTCGAATCAAATCCAGACCTTCTACCTGCTTAATTGATGAAGAAATAACAAAGGTGCAGCCCACAAAACAGCTTTTGATTCAATTGTCCAATTACTTTTGGTCCCTTGAAAAAGGTGGGATGGCTACTCCTAAGAGCTGTAATTCCTAAACCCTTCCTCCATTTGGATATAC